TCTGATTTTCTATTCAAAAGCTCTGTAACCAAACAGAATTGAAGACTATACAAATTATGATTTGTTTGAGCAATAACGATTTTATAGAGTAATTTACTTATAATTTTGTATTTTTTCGAGGTGTGATGGATAAAATACGAAATAGGGATGGTGACATACTAAGAGAAAATGAGTCACACCAGTAGAAATTCAGGATTTTTTTAAATATTGCCTTGTAGAATTAAGAACTTAACTTGTATACTATTAACATATTTATTATTAGCTAAGATTTTATGCTATTATAATTGATATAACATAAACAAAATGTAGTTTAATAAAATTTTGAATGTAAGACACTAAAACCTTGTGTCATGCGTAGTAAAGTAACTCAATTAGTGCTGCCCTTTACAGACGCAAATTTTCAATGCTCGCCACTAGCCTTCCACCTCCCGCTTCTACATATCCACATGTAAATGATTGTACAGCAGCTCTGCAGTAATAGGAACACGACACAACCCATATTGCATCCAGCACCCTCTCCACATTTACACTTGTTAATCGATTGGCAGTAGTATTTTACAGACGTGCTTGTTTTTGCTTGCAAATTTGTCAGTGTTTCCCTTTATACTACGGACTTAGTTTTTCTTTACTGTGTTTTTATTTCTTTATCTGCAGGGGCCTTTTTGCTAGTGTATTGTGAATCCCACTCTGTGGTGAGTGGTGCCTGACCAGGTATACTTTTTTTTTGAAAATCTGCACTGTCCATCCTGTGACCATGCTGGATGTGAATTATTTGTAGCTCTTCTTACCACAGACCTGATGTACAATTCCAGATATTGCCAGGTGTTGGTTGTGTGTGTCTGCTCACTTGTCATCTATGCCAAAACAATTACATCGCAGGATTAGATTACACTGTACAACTACTACTAGTTCTCTCTAATGGTCTTTTGCTTCATAAATATGTTCGTCCCAGATTTTACATTCATGGACATGCATAAGTAAAGCAGACAGGGATTGCTGCCCTTCTCTGATGCTCCAAAGCATTGAGACTTTTCTTACCATGGACCTGACATACAATTCCAGATGCCACTGGATGTTGGTTGATTGACTCTGTTGATGTGGTAGCTCTGCTTTTCAAAATAAGGTATCGCAATCACCCACTGCACTGTCTCCAATGATGCGGTTGTCTGGACTCTCCAACACATTTTGCCCTCCTTTCTTCTAGTGGAGTATGGGAGTCCTTGCCACTTACCAGTTCCTAGTTGCTGGAACATGGATGCCTGTCCTCCTGAGTAATAGATCATACTACTCAGTTGAGAGTAGAGCGATGGCATTCTGTGGGTGTTGATGATGTATAGCACTTCCTACCATGAACCTGAGGTACAGTTCCAGATTCCACCAGGTTTTGGTTGTATCACTATGCCATATTAATATATCTATATTTCTCAGATTGCTTTTTCCCTACCATGGCATTCCTCCTTCCTAACATCTTCCAGTGGGTCTGGTGTTGGTTGGAGATGGCCCAGTCATGATTAGAATCATGTGTTGATGGTGTAATGCCCTTCCCACTGTGGACCTGATGTACAATTCCAGATACTGCCAGGTTCTGGTTGAAGCACTCCATCATGCAGTTCCCATGGGATCAGGTGTTGGTTGGTGATGGTCAAGCTGAGTAAGTCCTCACATGTGTTCTAGCTGGTATCCCTCCTCCTGCCATGGACTGGATGAAAAATGCCCAATGCTACCAGGTTTTGTACTGGAGATTTACCCCAGGTTTGCATCCCTCTTCTTACCATTTGCTGAATGTTGGTTCCTGGTAGATCTGGTGTTAGTTGTAGCTGGTTACAGCACTGTATTCCCACTTGTGTACAGCCGGGTATCCTCCTTCTGTCACATACTGGAAGAATCATACCCAATGCCACCGGGTTTTGGACTGGAGATGTGGCTTTCGTCCTTCCTACCATCTGCTGGATGTCAGTTCGTGGTGGATCAGGTATTGGTTGGGTTAGAAGTGCACACAAGTGGAGACGTATTTTGGTATGGAATACTCCACTTTCTCACCTTCTGCATGAATTATTGCGAATGTATTGGTAGATCTTACATTAACTCTGCTTTCCTACCATAAGTTAGATTTCTATGTTGACAGCCATGCTGTAACAATTTTGTCAGTTTGTGTTCTATTAGTGGAGGCTTATTACTTATGTGTCTAACTGTTATTGTTTCTATTACCACTTGTTTTGTTTTTTCTTGTGCCTTTAACACTTTCATCTATAGGGCAGTGTTGCAAGATACTGATCTTTTCATTATACTACTTCCATGTATATAGGTATATTTCAAACAAACTCCTTGCTTCATTTTTGTCCTTGTAGATCTTTACCTTATTTTCTTACAGGGGTTGATTGGTTATTTAGCATCTGGTTTTGATTTTGGTTGTCATTATGTTGTAGAGTCATGTGTGATGTGTTTTTTTTATACTTGTTACATCTACTTATACTGCTCTTTATCATCTTTCTTAGGTTTTGACCAAGATCAGTTGGTTTTGTTGTACAGTTCTTCTTCCTTTCAAGCCTGACCTGCTCCACCATGATTTCCACTCCTCTTGTCTATCTTAGAGGAATCTTATTCCATTACTTTTACTACATTTTCTATAATAATGTTTGTTAGTGAGGCTGTTTTTTCTTCTTGGGTAACTAGAGTGCTATCACATTATTATAGAAAATCCTCTGTTTGCAGTATAACAGTATCATTGGTCCATCCTTTGGAGTTGGTGCCTGTGGAATTATATTTCTGTCTTTATCCCACTCATTCACATCTTGCCTTTTTTTTTTTTTTCATGTTTCTCTTTTCAAGATCTGGGCTTTTCTTCTCCAGCAGGTTATCGAGTTGATCTCACAATCACTTTTTGTCACCACAAGTCACGTGCCTCTGTTGTCTCTATTACATTTACATTTTTTTTTCAAGACAAGTCCTCAGTGGGAGCTAAATCTGGTCATCTTCCATTGCCTATATTCTATTATTGTATCTTCAGACTTATACAAAAGTCAATTATCTTTCATTGAAGATGTATTTTACTATGGTACAAGACTGAGATATTTCAAAATTTTTGTCATTGATGCTTTTCCTTGGTTATCCATTCCTAGGGTTCCAGGACTGTGAATAATTTTAACTTCCAAACAAGCAATATAAAACACAATAAATAAACAAATACATTCAGTCTCTTCGTAAGTATTGAGAATCTGTGTTTATATTTCAGTGGTGGCTTTGGTTTATTACACTTATATATATATATATACTTGTATAACAGTAATTAAAACATATAAAAATATCCAAAATCATCATGAAAAATGCATAACTAAAATATAACTTAAAGTTGGGACTCTCACAAGTCACATATACCTCTGTGTTAATCCTAAACATACTCACATACTCCACTTTCTGTGCTGGAGCTCTATGAGAGGGTTTTGCCCTTTGATATTGAATTAAGGTACCACCTAGTGGCTGATGATGCTTTTTTTTTATGCCTTGGTGATCTCATTGCATTATCCTTATGTTCTTAACCCATCCTTGGGACCTGACCAGGTTTTTTTGCCACTTTCCCTCGGCACCCACCAATTTGGCTGAGTCACAACTACCTAACCATTTTAGATATGGTTGAAGAGATACTGCCTCTGAAGTATGTCATTTCATAATATGTGTTTAGCCTGCTCCTGTGAGAACCTTCCAATGCAGGAGCAGGACATTATATTCCTCCTACTTGTTTATTTCACCATCTGTATATTATTGTGAGCTCTACCATTGCTATACACTATTACTACTGTGCGAAAACAGAATTTATGTAAGATCCACTGACATTTGTGTTAGGTAGTTGTGAGGTATCATAGAGTATTATAGGTGGTGATGTATATGATATGCAAATACACAAAGGACATTTGGAAATTTTGAGTCGCATGTTTAGTTTTGTTTTTTGACAGCATGAATTCAAACTCATCTAAGAAAGGCTTTCAATTTTTCAGAAGTAAGTACCTGTTAGAAATTCATTTTAATTCTGAAAATCCAAAAGTTCATGGCATTTACTCTAATAAAAGAAGGCATAGTAAAACTAAGTATTTTATAGCTGATGGTCGTGAAGCCCTATTAAGAATCAACTTGAAAGAGGTGGAGGTTACTGAAGATCTGGACATTTCTGAAGTTGCAAGCAAGTTAGATGGTTATTCAGGAGCTGACATTACAAATGTTTGTAGGTAAGAACTGTAGACATGTTATTTAAGAATTGATATTAAGAACTTTGGGCCAATTGTTGATGATATAATATCTGTGATATTAGACAAGTTTATAATTTAGGTGTTCACATAAAATTTTTCTTTTGTGAGAACTGTGGGGCTGGATATTATAATGTTAACATAAATGTCTGTCATCAAGAACTTTTAGCTGTTTTTCAGTAGTTAAAATCACAAATCCCTTTTAATAATAATAATAAATTGTGCTGGTTACTCATGTGCAAATATAAGAAATAACTCTTGGCCAGTTACCCAGAGGCTGATTTCACAAACCCTGTTTATTCCAGCAATTGATTCAAGGGTTGGTATTAAAAATGGTACAAGAAGCATCACAAACCTTTTGTTATTCAGAGATTGATATCTGAAATGTTTCTTGGATAAGAACTGTTGGCTGGTTGTCCAGAAGCTGGTATCACAAGGTGTTTTGTTAAAATTCTAAAAGTAATTATTTGAAATATCTTTATACAAAAACTGTGGGCTTGCTATTCAGGAGGTAACATCACAAATGTCTCTTGATGAGGACTGTTGGGTGGCTCAGGCCTTCAAGCTTGACACTATTTTATAAGGAATCTTTACAAAATTCCTAATATTTTCCTTTACATATAATATTTACCTGTTTGATAGGAATGTGGAAAGTAATGATAAACTGACAATAACAATAGATGGCTTTTCAGGAAGTATTAAAACAAAATTGTGTTAGTAAAAAAACTGAAGTATTTAGGAGCTAATAAGATATTAGTAAGAACTGTTAGTGTATGTAAGACCTAAATTTACTTTGGTAAGAAATATTGTATAGTTACAAAAGAGTCAAGAAAAATTCTAGCTTTTGTTGTTGTTAATTAGCACCATCAATTAAGTATGATTTGCCCAAATTAGTAAAAATTTTTTTTTCTGTAAGATTTTATTCTGATGTGCTAAAAAGAGCTATTTATAAATATGAATCTGTCAACCATATCTTTTATACCTATAGAATTTGCCAATCTGCACTAATAGTTGTTTTCTTTTTTGAATGGAGTTGTTTAAACATTTGTTTAACAAGTAAAAGCTTGGAATGATCTATTCTTTCATTAGGAGTGTGTCTGTGAGCAATACAAAGAATTAAATTGTGGCAGAATGCTACAAGTTCTACAAATACCTATAGAATGATAGCTTTCTTTTTTGTGAGTGTAAAACACTTAAATACACGTTTTCTTTTTGTTCTTTGCTTAACTAATATCAAGCTCAGATATGAAGAATACTTTTTATAGTTCTATTAGTTATGTCTTTTTTTGCCAGAGTTTAGTTTGTTTTTGTGTTTGGAAATAAGGTAGGGCTATTTCCTTTACAAGAACAACTCGCATTTCTTTACTAAACCCTTTGTTCATTACTTGTGGTTATAAATGTTTCTTCTGAAAAAAAAAATGATGCATTTCCTAAGTTTCTTGTATAAGCTTAATATAGATCCACTCCTTCAATCAGTTATGAGTCCATAGAGTTAAATTTTCTAGGTGAAATATTAGCTTCAGTATGTAATCTGGCTGTTACTGACTTTGTACTTCTTTGTTTCCCTTTCAGAGATGCTTCAATGATGGCAATGAGGAGGAAGATTGCTGGACTCACTCCTGACGAAATACGAAACTTGCCCAAAGAAGAACTAGAGCTTCCAGTGAGCCCAGGAGATTTTGAAGAAGCTATGAGGAAAATTAACAAATCTGTCAGTAAGCAAGACTTGGAGAAGTATGAAGATTGGATGGCCGAGTTTGGGTCTATTTAATTTTGTGTCCACAAATGGATGCAAAGCTCATTTCTTTATAACATAACTGTAGAGCATAGTGCACCAAGAAAATTTTAAATAATGTAAGAAATGTGTATATCACTTATATTTGTAACGTTTAATAGCTTTGAAAGTTAATAATAACTGATTTCAACTCTATACACTAAAAGTAGATTTCTACAACTAATGCATTTGAATATTAAAAGAGGTTCTGAAAGATAGGAATGACAGGTAATTTCAGCCTTAAATATTTAAACTTTTTTGTTATGGTAATCATATTTTAATATTGAAGCAGCTTCTCAAGTTCTGAAGGTTTGAAAGTAAGTACTGAGAGTTAAAAATCACAAACACATATAATGTATAAAACGTTTAAGGCTTTTTACTGTTGTGCAAGTACATGTATATGTAAGGTCACATAATTTACCAGAACATGGCACCAATATTGACTTCTTTACTAGGAAATAACTATTAAGAATGTATGAATATTTAAAGACACATAGATTGAAAAACTAAAGTGTACATTTAATTCATGGTTATCTTAGCTGGTGAAGTTATGTGACACTGTGTGTACTTACTCATTTTTGACTGGTATTTTATATCGTAGGTTAATCTCAGCTTTTACATTCAGAGAAGTATAAAAGATATTTGAAAAACGGATTTTATATGTAAACCAAATATTTTATCTATTCACATTGAGCTATGTAAGTTTTAGTACAATGTGTATAAAAAAACAAATGTTGGAATACTAACTATAAAGTAACTGTTTTCATGTCATCCAGATGAATGTGCAAAAAAGATCTACATCAAATTGTACTTCTCTGACTATTAATAAACGCAGTAGATGAACTGAAATGCAATTCCTAATCAGAAAAGTCTTTTCAACTAATAAAGGTTTTATGACTATTTTAATGTGTATGTTTTAATTTATGGTCAAATGTATTATCGGGGCCAGATTAAGCTTATTGTGGACCTAGGGGCTAATGTATTTTTAGGGGCCTATTGATGGAATTCTATGTATTTTTTTAAAATATTTAATAATTGTGATATCACAGGGTTTGCAGACCTGTTAGCCCTTACATTAATATTAAGCACTGATCACATTGATACATAGAACGTTAACAGCATAGTTAAATGACTAACATTTACTTTTTTGTACTAATTTACTGTATACTTGTAGTTTTTAGTTGGTGAGACCAGATTAAAATGATGACAAAACACTTTTCAATATACAAGAGATTCTGTCTTTATGGGGAAACAATAAACAGGTCACAACACATTTACTCCATTAAGTATTACTGTGTATGTAACAAGCTGTACAATTCACACCCATTTATTCTTCGTATTGTAAAGTTCTTACATTAACCTGTACTATTCTCCGACATGCCTACTAGCAGTCATTTTCACTGGGGGTATGTAACTACTATTTACGTTATATTGACTGTAATCTACAGATCAACTAATATTAGTTTATTGTCAGAATGTTACAAGTAATATGACAAAGGCTTGACAGTGGTTTGCAGCAGCTCAAACATTGACAACAAACATCACATATCAAAACACTTAACAGGAAAGTTGCTATTCAGATAGCAACTAGCATGTCTAACAAAGTATCAAAGATTCAAGTTGCAATGCAGCTGAACATGCTCTGTACATTTAACTGAGAGCATGTTATAAAAGTAACGGTCATTCGGTTTTCAAAGAATGGGCAAGGTCTTTGTAGCAGCGAGTGCCATTGGCTGATTGCTTACTCTTTGGTCAGTAGTTGAAAATTATGAATGGCTATGCTAAACTTTTAAGGTATCTGACCTGGCCTTTTACCTTGTATGCGCATAAAGTGCTGTTTAGTTTGAATACTGCTGCTTAAACATTTTATTTGTTCTGTAGGTTTGGTTTCTGAAAAGTGTTTCATGACACTGATGAGTTACTGAATTATACGAGGCGAGCCATAAATAAGTTTGCCTTGTTGTATTTCTTACAAAGTTACACGAGGGCTATCTGCAGTAACCGTCCGTAGTTTTGAACTGATAGTCTAGACAGCTAGGTAACAACAACTACCGCCATCCCTTGGGCTACTCTTATCTGACTGAATAGTAGGATTTGACTGGCACTCTTATAACGCACCCACGGTCCAAAGTGCGTACTGCGGTTTTGCAGCAACACGTCGCAAAACGGAAACCCTTGAATTCACAGTCCAGGTACACAAAACAATAGGCTCGAACAACTAATAAATATCATGTAATATTTCAAATTTTTTGGATTTCATAGGCTTTTAGTTCCAAATCTCTCAAATTTCTTAACTTTCATCTTGATGTCTTAAAAATCGTAATAAAAATAGTAATGTTATCACCAATATTACATTTATAGAAGTCACTCCTAACACAAGTGTTGCTTATTTCACCTTGTATAACTTGTGTGACGTGTCAGCATGTTAAGATACTGCTTGAACAAAGTTCAGTTCTGATCTGTATTATAGTATATTAAATAAGAGATTCTTAATCGTTTATCACAATGGCAAATTCATAAATGTGGGTGTCCAAACCAGTTTTTAACAGAAACATCATACGGTACTTCATGACTATCAAAATATCTTGGCGATACAAGTTGAAATAAGGGATCAAAGGTCACAAACCTACGTGAGCGTAAAGACATAGTATTGTGAATTTACATTTAAATGATTGACTTTTTTTGCTCAAAGTGCACAATGGGCTCTGTTCTTCCTTGTACACAGAGCCAAGCTTCCCACAACACTTTGATTCATGTATTTTAATGAGCAAAGCACTCTTATTTACTCCTTTCATCTTACTATCATCAAATCGATACTAAGTTCTCTATTTTCGATTATAAAAGAAATATCGACCTTTTGGTGACTTTCTTAACTTCAAATAAAAAATAAATTATCATTTTTTCACTGAATTTTTTTATATTTTAAGCTTTTATCCAACAAATATGCAAATGGCCCTACGCTCGTTTTTAATTTAGCACAAAGCCAATACAGTGGGCTATCTCTACTCTGCTCACCGCGGAGAATCGAACCATGGAATTTTGTATCTCAGTTCCTCAAAATTGCCGCTGACCTTTCGAGGGACAAACGCTCATGAATACATATGTAGTGACGGCATAACTTATCACGAGCGAAGTACACTAAATTGATAGAAGCTTTCTAACAGTAAATGTAAAGTAAGATATAAAGTTTCTGTTATATTATAACTAATGCTTAAAACCGTACACAGAAAATGGCCTAATTAAGAAAATCGTATGAGCTTAATGTATATTACAAATAAAATACCTTAATTTTTTGCCTCGTCCTATCCCAGGTTTGAAAACAGTTTTCATTGTGACCTATCTTGGTATATGGAATTTTCGACCTAAAAGGTATATAATGCAAAGTCACTTTTGTTTCGAAGCTAAGCACAATGAGGCTATCTGTGTTCTGCCCACCACAGGTATTGAAACCCGGATTCTAGCGTTGTAAGTCCGTAGACATACCGCTGTGCCACTGGGGGCTGCCAAGCCCGAGAACCCAAGATTTAGCATGATCGACGAGAGGGCAACTAGTCTGAAGCGCACGGTTAGTCTTTACTGAATAATCAGTGGTTAAAGTGGGACAATACACATACAGGTAAGGAAAAAATGGTAGTATTACACACAATTAAAAAACATAAAATGTTATCCTGCTGCACAACATCCTACCCACAACTATTTTCGTGTGAAAACACGTTTGGCTTTAGCGTCTCGGCAAATGTATAGTGTGAATGTTTTACCTTGGGTCAAACATCAATCTACTCCGCCACATTCGTGCATATCGCCACCTTTTCCAGACCCCTTTAAATACTGCGAATAATGAGGTGTTCTGCCACTGTTATAACATCCCTACAAGTGAAATTGCGGAGCGTGCATTTTTGCGGAATATTGTGGCTAGAACTTTAGATCATCTGATCCGCAAACGGGTACGCTAACCACTAGGCAATTTACGGCGTTATTTTGGCTTGACACTACAAGCTTTGACCAGAAATTTGTTATTTTGTGCTATATGTATTAGGTCGTCAAGAAATTAATGTCGCTTTTTTCTAGATGAAAAAACCCGAACTTGTATATCAAAACAAATCATTTATTAAATGAAATAGTCTCCATCTTATCGATGATGCTTTTCAATCCTACAGTCAGGTTGTTAATGTCCTGATTAACGAAATCACTTGGCTTTGAAGCAAAAAATATGTCGATGTCCTATTTAATATCTTTCCACTTGTGCATACATTTTCCCATTAAGATGGTATTCAGCGAACGAAAAATATGGTAATCTGATGGTGCCATAGCTGGAGAATATGGTTGGTGGGGAGACCTTTCCAACCCAACTCCATAATCTTGTGTTGCGTCAAACGTGCCACATGTGGACGTGCATTGTCGTGGAGAAGAAAAACACCTTTCTGATTGATGAGTGAAGGGCGTTTCTGATGAAAGGCTTGATTTAAACGTTCCAGTTGCTAACTATAGATATCTGCATTGACAGATTGCTGTGGATTGAGGAGTTCGAAATGAATTACTTCTTTGATGTCCCACCAAATGGTTTTTGTTTGTTTTGAATTTCGCGCAAAGCTACACGAGGACTATCTGCGCTAGCCGTCCCTAATTTAG